AGTTTGGAACTGGCCATTTTGTAAGTTATGATTTTGTAGTAAAGCTATTCTTATAGCTTTACATTTACTAATACATGTATTTTGAAATTGAGATTTTTGATGAATGAATGAAAATAGTTTAAATGAATTTAAAGTATATTTAAAACCCTTATTTTTACTAAAATAATGAAGTGCCACCAGCATATATGATGCACAAAATGATTGCTATAAATTTCCAAACAAGAGCAAATATATGTACAGCCCAATTAACTTTCACTTCATAAAAAACCAAGATCTTTGCAGAAATTTCATGATTCACAAAATCCAAAAAAATGCCCATTTTTAATTAACTTTGTTTTTAAAAATTGAGTTGCTATTTCAGATCCTGAACTTCGTAAAGTCATAAGAAACTTTTATAACGAATCTCTTTACTTGGAATTGTCTTGGCTTACAGATAAACTGCTCAGATGTAATTTTAATGATGCTTTATGATAACAAATTCAAAAACAAAAACAACCATAATGGCAAACACACTATATTCAAACGAAAGTTTATGGTAAAACTTAATAATCACACTATTATTATTTACATTTTATTGCTAAGGCTAACACTTTCTTAGAAACAGATTGTCAAAAAGAAATAAACAAATCAAAACTTGTGTAGTTATTAAATTTTCAATTACAAGGCATGTACATTTTCTACATTACATTTACACATATCTTTTTTCTAAACAAAGCCATAGCCAAAAATCAACATAAATAACCTTTAATTATTTCAACATAAACCAGAGTAAAAAGATAATCAATGAATAACTGTAAAATGTTTCCCTCCGATATGTAACGTTCCTAATTTTTGTAGAAAATAAAAAGTCAATATCATAGTTAATTTAAAAGAATATTGTATGACAAAATTGACTTTGATTTTATAAAAGGTAAAGGACAAGCTTAAAATAACAATATCAAACATAAGTGCTCTCCAAAGATGCAAATAAAATCTTTTCTTTAACATGATTTTCATTAAATAAAAATTTTTTTTTGAACATAAACAATAGAACAAAGCTGATAAAATAGTTAATGTAACTATAAACAAAGTCAAAAAAGTCCTGGAAGTTCAATTTTAAGTCAAATTAATGTTAATAATAGAAAAGTAAATGGCCGAATAAAAAGTTTCATTTTCAAACCATGTACCTTAACATTTCTTTGCAGATTGTACGCAAAAAGTTTAAATACATAATTTACGAAAAGAAAAAATCTACACGGCCACCACCGGAAAACTTCCAACGAAAAAATAAAAATGACTGTGAATGATAAGTTGGTCATGTTAAAATGATACGCACGCATTTTGACAAAAATTATAATTTCAAACATTTTTAGCTCACCTGTCACAAAAGTGACAGGGTGAGCTTTTGTGATCGCTTTTCGTCTGGCGTCCGTCCGTCGTCCGTCCGTCCGTCGTCCGTAAACTTTTACTTTAAATGACATCTCCTCATAAACCACTAAAGCCAATTTCATTCAAAACTTCACAGGAATGTTTTCCTGTGGTGGTCACCTTTGAAAATTGTTCAAAGAATTTAATTCCATTTGCAGAACTTAAATATCTTCTTTCTAAAAAAAAAAACCCAAAGAGCTAAAGCTTAGATATTTGGCATGAAACATCTTCTAGTGAGTGTCTACCAAGTTTGTTCAAATAAAAGCCCTGGGGTCAAAATTGGCCCCGCCCCAGGGGGTCATTGATTTTCCCTATATGCATTTAGTAAAAACTTTAAAAAATCTTCTTTTAAAGAACCCAAAGAGCTAGAGTTAAGATATTTCGCATGAAACATGTTCTAATGGTTGTCTACCAAGTTTGTTCAAATAAAAGCCCTTGGGGTCAAAATTGGCCCCGCCCCAAGGTGTCATTGATTTTCCCTATATGCATATAGTAAAAACTTAAAAAAACTTTTTGAAAAAAAACACAAAAAACAAATAGCTAGAGTTTAAATACTAAGCACGAAGCATCTTGTAGTGAGTGTCTACAAAGTTTGTTCAAATAAAAGCCCTGGGGTCAAAATTGGCCGGCCCCGGGGGACATTGATTTTCCTTATATGTGTATTGCAGAAAGTTAAAAATCTTCTTTGAAAAAACCCGAATAGCTAGAGTTTAGATATTAAGCATGAGACATTTATAGTAAGTGTCTACAAAGATTGTTCAAATAAAAGCCCTGGGGTCAAAACTGGTCCTGCGCCAGGTGTGTCATTGTTTTTAACTATATGTGTAAAGAAAAAACTTGAAAAAAATCTTCTTTTAAAAAACCCAAGGAGCTAGACCTTAGATGTTTAGCATGAAACATATTCTAATGGGTGTCTACCAAGTTTGTTCAAATAAAAGCCCTGGGGTTAAAACTTGCCCCTTTCCGGGGGCCTATATACAGGTGAGCGACTTCAGGGCCATCATGGCCCTCTTGTTTATAATTATGATTATTAATTAAAGCCATTTCAGTCACTAGTACATCGTTTATCTATTAAGCAATCAGTATTATCATTTGACATAACGGCATATGCAAAATATGATATAGTTATCAAAGGTAAATTTGTTAATACATCATTTTTCTAATTCAATGAGACAACAAAACACATAAAGGTAACTCTAAAACTCAATACAAACCCGGCAAACTTACGCTCAATTTCAAAATTCTGGTGTACTGAGAAACGCAAGAATGGTATTTCTAAGATAGAGCCGAATGCCGATTTAAAGGGCTAATTTGAAGTAATGATAATGTTTTTGTCTTGTAATTCATTTACATGTTAGTTATTTAAAAAGTGGAGCGTAAATGAACGGGAATAAAAAATATACAATGCATTTTAAAACACAGTTACAAACATAAATTGTATCATAGTTTGGAGACCTTTCTGTTGAAAATGTGTCAGGGTTAAATCGGTTAGATATGCAAGCATAGTGCGTTAACTGGAGTGCAGGTATTAATTAACCGCACTCCGGAGAATGCCAATTGATTAGCTCAATTTTGCTGGGGTCTACTTATTGTGACGACAGAGCAAGGGAAAGCGATAGAGATATCATAATTATACAGATGCTCGTTCATTGGTTGCTTTTTTCCTGGGGTTTCATATTTTGACAACAGGGAGCGTGTTTTATGTCTGGCTATGATACAAATGAGAAAAAACATCAAAACACTCGTTAATCTGTTTAATACTCGGGGGGGGCTACGCCCCGTGAATATTTTTTTTTCTATAAATCAAGATGCATTGCAACTTATTCAGTAACCTAAATAAAATCTGCCACACTTCCGCATTTACTTATATAACTAACCAAAAGTAATATTTGGAATGAATAAAATTAGAAATCTTACATTTAATGTTAAACTATTGATCATCATCATCATCATCATCATCATCACGCCAAAGCGATCATTGTTTTTGTCAGTTGATGAATGTTTAAGAAAAGCTAAGCAATAAGCAATTTTCTGTAATTTTGCATTTTAAAGAATGTACTTTCCCTAATTTCGAAGGTCATGAAACCATATAAAACTGAATTAAAAAAAAAAAAAAAAAAAAAAAAAAAAAAAAAAAAAAAAAAAAACAACAACAACACACCTTAACCTTACTCATATTTCCACTGAAAATCTTAGGATTTCAATCTCAAAATGACAAAATGAGCACGAATTATATATATTTATAATTAGTTGTGTAATATAATAAACTGAGGCATACACGCAAATCAATTTTTAAAATTAATAAGTAAAGTCATTTCATTCACTAGTACATCGTTAATCTATTGTTCTACCAGCACTATCATTTAAAATTCAGTACATATGCAGAAATTCATATCATATTATTGTAAATAAGCTTTTGAAATCAATCAGACACTATCATACACAAAGGTAATACAAAAGATATATTTACATACAATACATATTTATACACTGAAATACATATTGATGATACAGTGTCTTAACTTTACAAATTAATCTCAGCAACTGGATTACTATCCCGCATACAGAAAATTTGAAACTGATTTTTAAGCATATCAGTTATAAACTAAAGTAAACTATTATATTTGTTCCTTACATTAAAGTAATTTGCCTTTTATTTATTCTAATTATAATCGGCGGCGCGTAACCGTTTTCTCGGATTCTATGTATTTGATAATGTCTTATAGTAGTAAAAATTATTCCTTTATACATTAAATAGAAAGAAAATTAAAACGAATATTAAATTGAAATCAATGAAACACACAAAAACAAATAATTATGCATAAAACAAATATAATAACAAAAAGGCACAAACACGCACGCACACACGCACGCGCACACACATACACACACACACATACACACTTTATTATCATCATTACGTAAAATTACATCATTGTTTATGTCAAATGATGTTGTTTTTTTAAGTTTTTTAGTATTTGATAATGTTCCGTCATTGCAAATCATTGATACAGATATTAGAATATTAAAATAAAAAAGAAGTGTGATCCTTATCCCATAAATGTGATTCAATATTGGGCAATAAAGATATCAGGCAGTAATTTAATTGCGTTTATTTTACTTTGTATTTCGCCCTGTATACTCTAGAAAGTATTCTCTCAGCGACGCAAACATGACACTTTAATGACCCGAATATATATAAACCCCCTTTAATTGGTAGTTTGCAGTATTTCTGATGATTTGCTGTTAAAAAGGAGCGGTGTATACTTTGACTTATACCTTATTTCTCATTGAAGACATTGATATATTAAATTTATTTGTAAAAAAATCTAGCTGCCTTAAAGATGTCCTTTATCATGCACAACATTAGACGTAGATAAAAATTAACAAATAATTCACTTTGTCTTGATTATCATGTTTATTGCTGCTACTTATTTAAATAAAATATGTCTATCAGCTACATCTATTCCTGCTTCTGAAACAAGCATTTCGTCAAGTAATTATTGTATTTCAGTTTTAAGTGAATTTGAGAAACAATCTGCCATTCTTATGTTATCTACTTGAGTCAGTGTCTTTTTCTTTCTAACATAATGTTAACAAGTAAAATAGACCTTATGAAGACTCTCCTTTGCCATAGATGTTGTAATTTCGCTCCAGGTAGGAGGAATATTATCAATCAGATAACCATGTTGTTCCTTTAGTTGATCTTTGTATGTTGCCACAAACCACATCCAATATTCAGATGATTCACTCATAATAGATGATGGTGCTATGTCCCAATTTGGAAAGTAAGTTTTAAAATCCTTATAATAGTGAGTTTTCCCACAGTCTTCTTTTTTTCCATTATTACAAACGTACTTGATTATAGAACACGTATGTGTTGTGTTTGAATGAACATCACAATTGCATGATTCTAAGCATGCTAACTTCGTAGAACTCCTAAAAGTACCCCTGCAGCACGACGGACGATGCTGTATGCTGTAGTGTTCGGATCCTTCATGGTTTTGATCCTTTGCACACGGCTCTCCACAAAAAACACACTGTTCTTTACAACCCCATATCTTTTCAATTATTCGGGTTATAGGATTAAAACCTGTCCATTTAATTGTATAACTCTTCTGTGATTTGAATTTGGTAGCGAGTTTCTTTTCAGAATTGCTCAAATATTCTAAAAGTGTATTTGTTAAATGTTCCATGTTTTGTATTCTAGATGATTGTTCATGCCTTACATTACGGAAGCTCTCAAATGGAATAGATAAATCTGCCAATGCCATTGTGTTTCGGAAAGTTTCTATCCACGTTTCAATCGACGGCGGAGGATTCCCTTCATATTCCTTATGTATCTCATTCACGCATCTTTTGATATTAGTAAACAAAACGTCAAGCAGTGACATTGAAGTAATTGCAATGACCTGAAACTTTGAGTCATCAAGGTAACGATTAGCCTCTATTGTTATCCAAGAACTTGCATATCCGTATGGATCCATTATATATCTATTGAAATTCTTAAAACTTTCTTTTTCCAAAAGATCGGTGCATATGTCAATAATGACTCTATTTTTAACTTTCGGAAGAAAAGATTGTAACTTTTCAGCGACCTTATTCGGCAAGCTTTGAGATGTCCATTCATCTGCAAAACCTTCTATGACATTAGACAAAAGTTCTGCGATTAATTCTTCAATTTTGCGACGTTGTAAATGAGACTTAAAACTGATTTTCTGTTGAACCTTGTATTGTTCAAGCAGGATAGCAGTGCTATGCGTTTTGTAATATTTTTCATTATGGTTTTCAAAAATGGGATGAGCATACCTGCATACATGTACATAAAGTTTTACTTCAAATGTAGCTTTAAAAGTATATTTATTGTCTCCTGTTAAGATTGACTGCGTAATTAAGTCTAACTCATGCATTAACTTGCCGACTGACATTTCCGTTACTTCATCATCCACATTACAAAGTTCTGCAATTTTCCTATCAACTGATTCAAATATTAGGTTAACCTTGTCTCCGACATATTTCTTAATATCAGAAAATCCCATGATATCTTTTCCCTTTTGAAAAAATGTGCAGCCTATGTCTTTATCATTTATTCCTGTTTCACAAAACGAATTGGCTAATGGTTTTGCTTCTGATAATGGTGATAAGGAATATTTGTCCTTCAAAACGTTCTTAAGATAAGGATGTTTTTTATTTAAAATATTTTCAAGGCATGTCATGAATATGTTTTCCAAATTTATAATCTGCTTTTCTGAACTTGCAGAAGAAGTATCAACCTTATTCAAAAATTCTTTCCAGATATCATCAAAAAGCCTATCTACATCTTCACTTTTTAATTTCTGACCTATGTGAGCCTTTGCAACTTCAATTGATCTTTTCCGTAGCTCCTCTTCGTGCTTTTCTTGACATGTAACTGTAAGAATTTGTAATGATCTTTTCACTTGGCATTTTTGTACATGCTTTTTGGATACCTGTTGGAGTTTTTCACACAAAAATTTAACACGAACTTGTTGATTATTTTCCCATTGAATGATTATGTCTTTGTATTTACTACCATCAAAATATCTCTTAATAATCTCTACAGTTTTAGTTCTCTCATGCGAAAGAAGACGGCTCAGATCACTTATAATTTCGTCTGCAACATCTTGCAAATTTTCTTTTTGATCACAAGAAGCAAATTTGTTTTGTGACATTTGTATTAACTTATCTTGAATATGAATTTCAAGCCTCCACAGTTCAGCTACAACATAATCCTCCATTTGCATGTAAGCTTTTATTTCAAGACTATTTCTAAAAGAAAAAACAAAATCTTCATTAAGGACACCTTTCCATAAACTATGAGCATGTTCAACAATATCGTTTAATGATTTGTAAGATTTATTCTTCATTGTCAATGCTTTCTTCAAGATTTTGCATTTTATATCAACTATACGTTCGCTGTATTCATTATTTACTCTTGCCATCGGTGGATTTCCTTGCCATAAATTCTTCAGATACCACACTTGTGAAGTTATATCAAATTCGATAACTTGGTTAAATGTCTTGATGTCATGTATGCCTTCACTTTTTGCCGATTCCTGGGTCATTTCATCCAGAGTATGCATTAATTTACTTAAACCGCTTATCATGTTTTCTGATGCTGACGTATCGGTCACATTTTGATGAATAAAGGCACAACTTTTCCTTATATCTAATTTTTCATTTGCCATTTTCAATCTTAAAAAGGCATGAACAATCACTTGTAGAATATCCCGGATTTCACTCGTATTTTCACCCATTATATTGAACATTGTAATATCACCTACACCGGTTACTACGGTTGCCAATTCATTGTCATGCTCATGTTGCACATTGCTTAACTCGGGTGACCTGAGGCCTTCTGTGTCGACAATAAGTATATAACTAAACACAGAAGAAGCTGCGTCATTATATTTTTTTACAGGAATGAGTTGTACATGAATTCCTCTAGTACATCTACCGGTTCGTGATAAAAACTGGGATCCAAACATCGTGTTTAAAAGTGTCGACTTCCCGGAACTTTGCAGACCTAAAACGCCGAGCGTCATAACTTTACTAGATCCAATATATGCATTTACTATTTCCAGGACCTTTTTTGTCCACATGTAAGGCATGTAAAAGCTCTCACCATCAATAAGCTCAAATGGGTGCCCGTCAGCAACAAGACGACCGATTATACCTGATGTTTTACTTAATTTTGGTAATTTCAACTTGTTTGGGTCTTTTTTGAGTTCTGAAATAGCTTCATATATATGACCTATTTCACGAATAAAATGTTGAACTGCAAATGATGCTTCATCAATTCTTTCTTCTAGGTCTGTTATGACAGTTTCCTGTGTTTGTATGTCCTCTTTAACCACTTCTTCAGCACCCTTTAGTGCTTTTAGCGTTTCCCAAGCACTTCGATTAGCATGCATCAGCCGGGGTAATATTCGCCGTTTTTCTCTTTCAATAAAAAAATGTAACCAGCAAAGAAAATATCTAAGTACTGTGAGTGAACTCTTGTTTTCAATGAGAATGTCGATAAAAAGTCGAACAGCTTCAGTAATCGATTCTATTTGTTGTTGTCTTACTGCTCTAATTTTTTTATCTATATTGACCCCTTTTGAATGGTCTCTTTCCCTTTCTCTTTCCTTTAAAAGCTTTCCCAAATGTTTTGAAAAATTACCATGGACTGGTGTTAAGTCTTGTTTCCAACTACTGGGTTCACTCACAGTTTTCATATGTTTAATTATTTCAGTAGCATGTAGCTTGCCTTTTTGACAATCTTCGTTTTCCTCGTCTGTTTTAATTGTTGTCAAATTTGCTTGCAGCAATCGTTCTTCAAAAGACATTGCATTGTTTGTTTTAAGTGTATTTGAAATAATTTTTGTTATACTTGATAACATGTCTACGATATTCTGTTCAACAGCACCTTTATGTGTGCTTAATATTCGTAAAATAAATTTTGATGATTTCACTTCACTTTGAAAACACTGTACTTGTTTCACCGCATCACGGTTTAAAGGGTTTGCAATTATCAAAATAACTGAGGAAAATTGAAGAAGAACATCTTTTACCATTCTACTGTGTTTCAAAACCTTGTCTAAGTCAATAATAATAACAATTGAATCTATAAAGTGTGAAATGAAAATCAAAAGGTCTTTACTAAAGTCTTGTTCTAGATCACCCCTCAAATTCAAAAATGTCATAGCATCCTGAAATCTATCTTTTTTTTCATCGATGGTAGGCAACCAAAACATTTCAACTTGTCCATTACTTAGTTGTCTTGGTGTCATTCCAGAAGGACAGTCAATATTGAAAAACGTTTTACAATCTTGACTTAAAAGAAGACTGTTAATCAGTTTTGATTTCGAATAGCGTGGGCGACCTAACCTTCCAAATGCAACGACTTTTGTTTGAAGATAAAGTACATCACTTTCGATACCCTGTACATTGTTTTCATTCGCATATCTTTGCTTACTTTCTATGGCTAGGGATCGCAACGGCCATACAGATAATATTGGAGTTTGTTTTTCATTACTTTCCCAATACCTATATATGAAGGGTACTGCAAGTTTGCAAAGATATAGTTTTTGAACAAATATTTGTTTCAAAACTGGATCACAACATTGAAAAACGACAGTGAATATATCTAATGGGCTAATGTCTTGATTGACTTCGGTTATTTCAAAAAACAATGTAAATGATTCCTCTACGTTCAAACTTTGGTCAGTAGTTTCTTCTTCTGACACTGTTATGTCTCTACATTCACTATGAGCACAAATCAAACGTTTCAGAACCAACCAAGGAATATCCTGAAGGGATATCTTTCCATTTACCTGCTCAATGGGTCTGTTTGGATCAACTGCTATGACATCTTGCATGGATATTTTACCAGGAAAATTATCTGCCAATCCAAGCTTTCGAAGGATTTGATAAAAAACCTGGCCTTTAGTTTCCGCTGCAAACATTTAAAGTAAAGTAATGTAAAGCCCAACAAAATCAGTTTTTTATTTTATATTCTATCTAAAAGTATGTAGAATTTATAAATATACACAAAGAAAAGTAGTGATTTCCTTTTTTTGAAAAAATCAAAAAAAAAAAAAAAGAATCACGTCTTTGCCCTTAATGTAGGTATAATTACATAATTACAAGATTACTCCAACAATTTGAAACATACATGAATAGATTCAATTTTAAACGCTGGCGGGTAATATTTTATGACAGTGGTCGTTTCTCCATATGTTATATATTAAGATAAATACGGTGGCACAAATGTGAAATGTGTGTGTGTTTTTATTTATCTCGTGGCCACGAAATACTATGTCGTGGCCACGAGTTACTAAGTCGTGGCCACGAGATACTATGTCGTGGCCACGAGTTACTAAGTCGTGGCCACGAGATAGCTAAGTCGTGGTCTCGATATACTATGATGTGGCAACGAGTTACTAAGTCGTGGCCACGAGTTATTAAGTCGTGGCCACGAGATAGCTAAGTGGTGGCCACGAGATAGCTAAGTCGTGGCCTCGAGTTACTAAGTTGTGGCCACGAGATAGCTTAATCGTGGCCACGAGATACTATGTCGTGGCCACGAGATAGCTAAGTCGTGGCCACGAGATACTATTAGAAATAACCAATCAGATTGCACCATTTATATGAATTTCCATAATTAACTAGACATGTGCAATAGTACAAAGATGCCCCTACTTCACCAGCCTGTAAAAGTGCCATTTATACTACTTATTGACTTGTCAATAATTTTACACTTTACTTATTTTTGACCCAATGACCTCGAAATTATTAAATGTCATCTACTGATCAGGTGATTTCCGGGTTATATAAAACATGGCTTATCCCTTCTTTATATTTTCATCAGACAAGGATTTTACCTTATATAGGCTATCTACTGTCCATGGGCAATGTCCCTTCCTAATAAAATAAACTTCTCATGTATAAACAAGATTAACAAGCCATAGTACGTACAAACTGATCAATTCAATCACAGAATTGTCCAAACAAGGAGGTAAACTAAATGTCTGATGGGCCTTTGAAGGTGACTTTCTAATATGATCCTAAAGACAAGTTCAATGTGAAAATCTTCAGTATTTTCAAAGTTTAATATTGAATGTAAAAGTAAGTTGTTAAGTTTAAAATATTCATGATACATATAGTTTATTCTAATTGGTTAATTATCTCGTGGCCACGACTAGCTATCTCGTGGCCACGACTTAGTAACTCGTGGCCACGACTTAATAACTCGTGGCCACGACTTAGTTACTTGTGGCCACGACGTAGTATCTCGTGGCCAAGACTTAGCTATCTCGTAGCCACGACTTAGTAACTTGTGGCCACGATATAGTATCTCGTGGCCACGACTTAGTAACTAGTGGCCATGACATAGTATCTCGTGGCCTCGAGATAAATAAAAAAACACATTTGTCACCTTTGTGCCACCGTAGGTTAAGGATAGTTCTATACATTTTGACTATGAACTTAAATAGATTTATTTCGATGTTTTTTATAAAAAGACCTTTAAATTTGTTTAATGTCACATTATGAATGTATCTCTGTTATGAAGTGTGTGCCTCCGTTATATTTCTTTAGTCCTTTTTATAATATCAGGGTGTATAAAAACTGGTTTCAGTTGTCCAATCGTCTGATACACACAGCTAACATTTAAAGATAGCAATTACATGTTCGCTTAAAAACTTTTTTTAACACAAACGCAAAATACGTCGAAATTAAGTGTCAGAGTGACAAAAGCAAATAACAGTTTAGATTAAGCAAAAACAGTACAAAATAGGTCGTCCAGACTACTTAGATAAGCTGAATTTCCTTAGTCTATGTCATCTGAATTTTGCAGTTATGAACTCTGAATTAATCATCACTTGTCATGATATTTTGTACGTTATAACATCACAGTTATTTGTAAAATGTGAAGTAAGACATAAAGTAGTTTTTTTTTTAAATATCTTCAACAAACAAATCAGTTATGTTACCTTTTGACATTGAAGAATCCGGGTTTTCACTTTCAGAAGGATTACTTTCGGCATTGCTAGCAGCAGCAGATTCTGAAACATGTTTTTATGAAATAATTAGGTTCATAAAATAAAAATTCTAAGATATGATAACACATTTCTTCAAAATCGTCTTGATGATACCTTATTTTTCTTGAAGAAATGCATACTATTTTTAAATGTCTTTTCTTCTTTATATTTTCCGGTAAGTAATTATTCGCACATAAATACAATAAATTCACAGCTGAGAGACTTTCTAATTGCTTATGTGTTTGTGTTGAATAATAAAAACAATAAAGTGAAGCGTGCAACCTGGACTTCCTTCACCGATTGGTCTGTAGCAAGGAAATCGTAAGAAGCTTAAAATCAAATTGAACAGTATTCAGTTTTAGATTAATTTACAAAAGAAATGATACATCAGATAAGTTTGGTGTGCAATACATCATTGGCATGACAATCAACAACCGACAATCACTATTCAGTGTCGAATTAGAAATCTTAAGCTCGACATTCGATATTACTTAATTTTCAAAACTATAACCAACGTTAAGTAAACTATCTGCTTAGTTTTAATTGTTAAGCTGGTCAATGAACATATAGCCAAACTAGCCAAATTTACAATTTTCCAGAAGACAATCGACATCAAGCTCAATATATGATATTTGTAAATCAATTTCAAAAGTGCCATTATGCCAATCCAATTGTATTTGGTGAAAGACTTAATAAGTTGTGTATTTTTTACCTTTTTCCTTTCAAATTTGTATTTTACATATTAACATGAACGATCAATATCTCACATGGCATGTAACAAGACTTGACATATCTATATTTTATCTTAAACATTTCCTTCTTTCAACTGTTGGTCAAGCATCATTATAACAGTCAATATTTTGAAATAAATAGTCAATCAGTCAATCAGACGCCAGTCATTCAAAATTACCAATATGAAACTAGAAAATCTACATTCATTTCAATTTTTGCTATTTGTATGTTTTAATTATAACTTTAAGAATGCTTTCAAAATCAACTAGACATTCAATGACCAATGCTGAACTAGACATTCAACATCCAGCTCATAAATAATTATTCATTCCTTTTAAATATACATGTATATTTCAAACCATATTATCAGCTACACAACTAGCGGTTAACTTGACAATAAAAGTTTCTATTGTTGACATTTACGATTTATATTCATCAAAACGATCGATTTTCACGAAATAATGGCGTACTTTCATATCAAATGATGGGCAACAGCTAGACATAACATTTTCCAATTTTGCTAATAGTTATTTATTATTCAGCTGTACATTTGATGCTCATTAGTTTTAACATAATTTCAAATCAATTGTTAAGTAAGTCGTTAAACAATCAGCTTGACATTCACAATTACTAATGCTGAACTTAATAATTAACATCTAGTTCAACATTCAAAATTCTTTTATTTACAATGGACAGCTATACACGCCGTCATCGTTGAATGCAAATTGGTATAATTTTGTATATTACTATTTTTCTTGGACTGAAAATATGGTATATGCATTAAAACACTACAAAATATTCCGTTTCATTTGGTACAAGTTGCTAGCACAATAAAGCAAAAGTAACAACGAACTTTCAACTCAAATCGGACAAGCTGTTTGATCTGATGTGATTCATATTGATTCAACAATCGTTTTTTCTCTCAATTTCATACTTGTTTCAGCTAGAAACCATAACTTCAAATTATAATGTTACATTATCTAATAAATTCCACAAATAAAAAAATTTGTACGAAATGAACGAAGCAGTTGAAATAAAAATATCATATGACGCTGCTGTATTGTTTGTTTGGCAATCTTTTAAGCATGTATAGTGTATCTTTAGTACATGAATACTCACTACACATGATTTAATTTGAGTCACAAATAAGAAAATATTTAAAAGTTTTAAGTGTCACTTTTTTTTGTTGAGTATATGTTTTATCTGTCAAATTAATGTAAAGGTGAAGCAATTCTTATTGAATATAATTAATCTATATGTTGTCGTTAAAACTTGAAATTAAAATGTAACCTGATGTTTGTGAAGGCTCCGCTTCTTCCTGGTTTGTTTCTGCACATTCCATTTTTAAATCAGTTTCCTCTGAAAAAGAAGTTATTAACATTGCTTTTGAAATTGGCATTGCTTTTAAAATTCAATATTGGCATTACTTTTAAAATTCAATAAAAGTGTGATACAGGCATCGCATAATGAAATAGTATGTCAATGTAATTTCGAACGTCATAGAAGGTTGCCCACGAAGGTTGCCGTTGCGTACAGTTAATGTGAATGTCTATATTTCATATCCAGGCACGTATCTTAAGAAAACTGTCTTGACATATTCTCAGGTCCCTGCATATAAATTATGTATCTATGCAATTTGGCATGTATTTTCTTTTAATCATTCGTCACATTAACAGAAAAACATATTTTATATCTATTTAACTTCATAATTGTGTAACGAAGTGAAACCTTATATCGCCCCGATGCTTTGCGAACTATGACTTTAAATATATTGTCAACATGTAACCTGTTTTCTATGCTCTGATTTACTCTGTTTTTCTTTATTGCAGATTTCATTTAAAAGGAATATCAATCATGAAAATCAATATTTCACTCAAATTAATGTAATTGAAAAGCATAAAAGCTATTAGATGTTATTTTTATGTTTTTGCTGGAAATTCAAGTTAAATTTCATCTGTTGTTTGCATATGTTCTGCTTCCTCTTGTGGTTTGATTGAAGATTTCATTTAAGACAGATATCGTCAGAAAAATAACTTGTTATGTTTTATCTCTCACGTTTATGTAACTGATTGATATATAAATGTTTTCGCTAGAATTTTATATTTAAAATGTAACCTTTTATTTGTAGAGGTTCTGTTTCATCTAGTAATTGTCCTGCATATTCTGTTTCAAAAGCGACAGTGTCTGTTTCAAAAGCGACAGTGTCTTCTGAAATAGAAAATATTTAACTTTAATTTTGAAATTTAATATCATGCAAATGAAATAACTTGTGTTACTTGCCCTACCTTCCCTGCATGTTACATATATTTATGTATTTCATATAAGAACACATGAACTGTATGTTTAGCTATTAAATTGATATTTAAATGAGTGTGTCAATAGACGTTGGAGCGGGCAATGTTTGCCGTTATTGTAGTAGAATTGATGTAAATGTTCATGTCTCATATCCATACACCTGTATGACATTTTTGAGAAACATTGTAGAAATATTCTCAGGCCCCTGCATGTAAATTATGTTGATCTCTATTCGATTTTGATACAAATTAAGTGACATGTTTTATCAATCTTTATTTCAACAAATAATTTTACCTGGTAGATTGTAACAACTTTTATATATTTCATTTTACATATCATCAGAACAAAATATTGTCTTGATCATTCATTATATTAACATAATAGAATATTTGCTATTTGATGTTTTTGTTTTTGCTAAGCATCTATATATTAAAATGAAACCTGTTGGTTGTAATGGTACCACTCCTTCCGATACTCTTACTTCAGATTCTATATTTAGCGAGCCACTGTCTTCTGAAAACAATAATATTGAACATTACTTTTTATAAGGTCAAATGTATAAACTAATGTTTTTTTCGTCTCCCTTTTACAGTCCTTTGACTTCACGAACTGGATTTTTACATAAATGGTCATCTTTGCGGCTCACATTTGTAGGATCTTGATGATCTTTAAAAAGTAATTATGTTCCGCTTCTTAAATGAATGTTCGCATATTCATATAAAATACAGGATAGTTTAAGGTTTTGGTGAGAATTTTATATTAAAATTTAACCTGTTTCTTGTAAATGTTCTATAACATCAAGCATTATATTTGCGGATTTAATTTACAAATAAATTTCCAACACAAAATAAACGGATTTGTTTCATCTCTCAAATAAGTGTGAAAAAGACGAATATTCCTTTAAGAAATGCGATATCAAAATGTTTTCTTTTGAATTTTAGAATAAAATACAAGCTGATGTTCGTAGATGTTCATCTTCTTCCAATAATTGTTTTGCAGATTCAGTTTCTAAAGCGACAATATTTTCTGAAAAAGGAAATATCTAAGTAAACTTAAATTTCGAGATTAAGTTACCTGTAAAATGAAAAATTTATTAGCCCGAACCCCTAACAGGCTTTATAAAAACATGTGAGGTCAACTTCAAAAAGCCAAATTTTCCGGATCTTTATCAATGCCCTATTTTAAAGAATTAGATATAACGTTTGACGAATTTTTGATACGTCGTTTGCGCGCATCTGTTGCCGGTACATTAATAAATGTAAAATTGCCATACCCCATGGACTTAAAGACCTTCGCAAATAATGTACAAAATATACCCAGGACCTGAATATGAATTATGTTGTTTTTATGCAACTGTTCAATATCGATTACCCCCGTAGCATATTTTATTCAATCGTAAAATAACAAACATATTTGCCTGATCAATTGTGACAGAATTCAGTTTTCTCAATACCTCCTTCTATCAAAATATGTTGTATCTGTAAAATTTATATTATTATGAAGCAATACCTATAAAATATATTTCATCTTATTGTTGTCGTTATAACTTGACATTAAAATGTAACCTGGTGTTTTTAAAGGCTCCACTACTTCCTGATTTGTTTCTGCACATTCCATTTTTAAAGCAGTTTCCTCTGAAATAAAAATATAAACATTGCTTTTGAAATTGGCATTGCTTTTGAATTCAGTTGAGTTGAGAAAATGCGCCATGTTGAATACCCATCACCAAACCTCAAAGTGCATTGTCTTCGTGTCGCAATATGAAGAGTCAACTTTGCAGAACACACTATCCGGACAAATTACATGCAATCTTTAACCGTGTATGTACCTCTATTCAGCATGTCAGGTACATTTATGCATTTCTTATCAAGGGAAAAGTACATCACATCACTTAGATGTTAACACAGACATCACTTAATGAAAGAATGTGTCAACGTAATGTCAAACGCTATAACAGGTCGCCCGCGAAGGTTGCCGTTGCGTACAGTTAAAGCCAATGTCCATGTTTTATATCCATACACTTACTTTTTATGATCTTTTGAGGGAATTGTGTAAAAATATTATCAGGTAGCTGCATATAAATCATGATATTTCTATGCAACTTAAATACAAATCCAGTGGCATGTTTTTTCTTTTAATCCTAATTTCAAAAATATAAATTTGACCGGTCGATTTTGAGAGTTTGAATAATTTTCTAGATCATTCGTCATATTATCAGAATATGATAAAAAAGTAATAAACAGAAGTGTAAAAAAGGAATATTCCATTAAAAAATGCGATATCAAAATGTTGTACATTAATTTAACATCATAATTGTGTATAAATATAAAACCTGTTGGTTGTAAAGGTTCTGCCCCTTCCCGTATTCTTGCTTCAGATTCTATATTTTGGGCGTCAGTGTTTTCTGAAATAAAAAATAGTCAACTTTTACATTTATATTATGTCAACTGCGTAAACATGTGTTATTTTTGCACTCTCTTATAGCCTGATGCTTTGCGAACTGTATCTTTAAATGAATTGTCAACTTTTTTTTCATTTCAATGATAATATCTTTAAAAATGATGTGTTCAATCTCTTAGGTAAATGTAACTTTCAAGTATATATGCCTTGAATATATAGAATATCAAATAATTCGTGTTGAATTTGATACAATAATGTAACCCGTTTTTGTATAATTATGTTCTGATTCATCCTGTTTTCTATTGTAAATTCCATGTAAAAGAAATATCCGTCACAAATATTCATTTTTTATGTTTATCACTCAAAATGATTTAATAGAAAAACATATTAATATTAGATATATGATATCTAAATGTTTTCGCTGGAATTTTATATTATATTTAACCTGTTGTTTTGATATGTTCTGCAGCCTCCTGTAGTTTTATTGCAGATTTCATTTAAAGCATATATCGTCAGAAAAATAGCTTCATATGTTTCAACTCTCACGATAATGTAACTGAAAAGCATATTCCTATCAGATATAAAATATCTAAATGTTTTCGCTAGAATTTTATATTAAAAAATGTAACCTGTTGTATGTGGAGGTTCTGCTTCCTCTAGTAATTGTTCTGCATATTCAGAAACAGCCAAAGTGTCTTCTGAAATAGAAAACGTTCAATTCTAATTTTGAGATTTATTGACACGAAATGGAATAACTTGTGTTATTTGCCCTTCCGTTCCTACATGTCTCGTATATTTATGCATTTCATATAAGGGTTAGCATACATAAACTACATGTGCAGCTATTATATCGATATTTAAATGAGTGTGTCAATGTAACGTTATGTCTTACGTCATAGACGTTGAAGGCGGGCAAATGATGTCGATTTAAAGAATTACTTTAACTTTTCATGTTTAATAACCAAAACTTACATGTATGACATTTTTTAGAAATATTGTAGAAATATGCTCAGGTCCCTGTGTAAGACACTGTTTTGTTCTCTAACTGATTTTGATACGAATCAACTGACATTTTTGCCTGATCGATTGTTACAACGATTCTAGATTTCATTCCTCATATCATCAAAATAAGAAATTGATTTTTTTTAATTTTATATTACAATGAGACCTTGTTGTAAAGCTACTGCCATTTCTGATATTCCTATTGGAAATTTTATTCCTATGGTGCTAGTGTCTTCTGGAGTAAAACAATATTCAACTTTATTTTAATTCATATTAAGTGAAGTGCATACACTAATGCTTCTTATCACCTCTACTAAAAACCCTATCTCTTTGCGACCTGTGTTTTTACATGAATATTTATGGATTTCATATAAGGGTAGACATACATCAATTGTATTTCTATCAATTACATAGCTATTGGAATGTTGTACCTATGCTACGCTATGTCTTAAGGCAAATGTAACGTTATGTCAAACAACTCAGACTTAGGGCGCGAAAAGTTTGCCGTTTGAGAGAATTAATTTACATCTCAATATTGTATGTCCCTACACTTTCATGTCATGTTTGGGAAATATTGTATAAATATTCACAGTTACCTGTGTATGGAATAACATTGTTTACATAGAAGGATGCCCACGAAGGTTGCCCACGAAGGTTGCCGATACGTACAGTTAATATGAATGTCCATGTTTTATATCCATACACTTATCTTTAGGTTCTTTACAGGAAACTTTGTTTAAATATTCTCAGGTACTTGCATAACAATTACGTTGTTTTTGTATGCAATTTTGATATCTATCCAGTGCCACGTATTTTCTTTTAATCCTAATTTCAAAAATATAAATTTGACTGGTCGATTTCGAGAGTTTTTATAGATTTCTGGATCATTATTCAAATGAACAGAATAACATATTGTATTTTTATTTAACTTTATAATTGTGTATAAATATGAAACCTGTTGGTTGTTCTGGATTTTCCCCTTCCGGTATTTCTGTTGAAGATTCTATATCTTGGGCGACTTTGTCTTCTGAAATCAAAAATAGGCAACTTTGCGTTTATATTAATTCCATTGCATCAACATGTCTCTCTCTCTCTCTCCCTCTCTCTCTCTCTCTCTCTCTCTCTCTCCCCCTCCCTCTCTCTCTCTCTCTCTCTCTCTCTCTCTCTCTCTCTACAGCCCGATGCTTTGCGAACTCCGCATTCAATGAATTGTCAGTCAACTTCGCAGTTCTCATTTCGATGATAATGAATATCTTTAAAAAGGAATTTTTCAATATCTTAGCCCCTTTTAACTTCAAAGCATAAGTCTAAAAAATAAATTTTATTTAGATATCCGTGTTAAAATTTGATATTTGGATGTATCCGGTTTTTCTTTATGTTCTTATTCATCCTGTATTTTATTGCAGATTCCATATAAAAGAAATATCCGTCACAAAAATCATATTATATGTTTAATTACTCAAGTTAATGTATTTGAAAAGAATATTCTTGTTAGATATATGATAAAAATGTTTTTGCTGGAGTTTTACATTATTTTTGACCTGTCGTTTGCATATGTTCTGCTTCCTCCTGTAGTGTATTTGCAGATTGCATTTAAAACAGATATCGTCAGAAAAATAACTTGATATGTTTCATCTCTCACGGTAATGTAACTGAAAAAGCATATTCCTTTCAGATATAGGATATCAAAATGTTTTCGTTAGAATTTCATATTACAAATGTAACCTGTTGTTAGTAGAGGTTCTCCTTCCTCCAGTAATTCTTCTGCAGATTCTGTTTCTAAAGCAACAGTGTCTCCTGAAATAGAAAATATTCAATTTCGGATTTAAGATATAGTTACAAGAAATGTAATTACTTGTGCGAGTTGTCCAATCTTTACTGCATGTCATGTACATTAATGCATTTCATATAAAGGTTAACATACATAAAATGTATATTAAGCTAATATCAATATTTAAATGAGTGTGTTAATGTAACTTTATGCCTCACATCATAGACGTTGGGACGAGCAAAAATTGTCGTTTCAAAGAATTACTTTACATGTTCATGTTTTATATCCAACACTTACATGTATGACATTTTTGAGAAATATTGTAGTAATATGCTCAGGTCCCTGCATATGACATTATGTTGTTCTCTTATTGATTTTGATACGAATCAAGTGACATATGTCATCAATCCTTATTTCAATAAATATTTTTGCTGGGTCGATTGCAACAATTTTTTCTAGATTTCATTCCTCATTTCATCAGACTATATATATATATCAGACAGATATTGATTTAAAAACTAATAAAATGATACCTTTACGTTGTAAAGCAACTACCCCTTCTGACATTCCTACTGGAGATTCTAATCCTTGGGTGCCAGTGTCTTCTGAAGTAAATCAAGTCCATTTTTTTAAATTTATATTAAGTCAAGTGCAAACACTTATGCTGATTTTTGTCTACCTAAAACCCTTTGTCTTTTCGAACTGTGTCTTCACATGAATATTTATGCATTTCATATAAGGGTAGACATACATCAACTGTATTTTCATCAATAACATTGCTATTTGAAAGTTTCTGCCTATGTTACGTTACATCTTTCAGCGAATGTAAAGTTATGTCAAACGCTTTAGAAGTTAAGGCGCGAAAAGGTTGCGGCTTCAGAAAATTAATATAAATCTCCATATTTTATATCCTTACACTTACCTTTATGTCATTTTTGGGAAATATTGTAAAAATATGTTTAGGTCACTGAGTATAGAAATAGCATTTTTTATGTGATTTTATGGGCACATCTGTTGCATTTATTTTTTATCAATCCTTATTTCAAAATAAATATATATATTTGTACAATTCCTTGGTTGATTGTAATATTTTTTCGAGTTTTCTTGATCATTCCTCATATTAACAGAATAGCATATCGGATATTTGAGGTTTTTTTCCAAACATCTATGTATTAACATGAAACCTGTTGGTTGTAATGGTACTGCTTCTTCCAATACTTTTACTGCAGATTCTATATTTTGGGAGCCAGTGTCTTCTGAAAACAAAAATTTTGATCAGTACTTTTATAGTATTTCATATGTATAATATTATGTTTCTTTTTGTCTCCCTTTTACCGTCCTGTATCTTTGCGAACTGGATTTTTACATAAATTGACATTTTTGCCCGAACCCCTTGCAGGCCTTATTCCAACATGTAAAAGTAACTTTAACAAGAGCACCGCTAGGCGGAGCATTATATGCCCGAAAGTGATTTTTTTTTAGTAAAGATGAAGCATTTGTAAGACATGGGAATCAAATAAAGTATTACCTCCTTCAATTAAAAATCCTCCTTTGAAGTTTCAATATTGTGGTCCAAATGAAAACTGTTTTCAGTTCTAAAGTAATAGTGACCTTGACTTTTGATCTTGTGACCCCAAAATCAATAGGGGGCGTCTACCCAATATGGACAATCATACTATGAAGTTTATACATAGTGGGCCAAATGAAACTTAAGTTATGTTCCGAAAACTGTTTTCAGTTTTAAGGTAGTAGTGACCTTGACCTGTGACCTTGTAACCCCAAAATAGATAGGGGTCTCCTACCCAATATGGACAATCATCCTATGAAGTTTGAACACTGTTGGCCAAATGGAACTTAAGTTATGCTCCGGAAACTGTTTTCAGTTTTAAGGTCAGAGTGACCTTGACTTTTGATCTTGTGACCCCAAAATCAATAGGGGTCTTCTACCTAATATGGATAATCATACTATGAAGTTTGAACACTGTGGGCCAAATGGAACTTAAGTTATGCTCCGGAATCTGTTTTCAGTTTTAAGGTTATAGTAACCTTGACCTTTGACCTTGTGACCACAAAGTCAATAGGGGTCTTCTACCCAATATGGACAATCATCCTATGAAGTTTGAACACTGTGGGCCAAATGGAACTTAAGTTATGCTCTGGAAACTGTTTTCAGTTTTAAGGTCATAGTGACCTTGACCTTTGACCTTGTGACCCCAAAATCAATAGGGGTCTTCTACCCAATATGGACATTCATCCTATGAAGTTTGAATATTGTGGGCCAAATGAAACTTAAGTTATGCTCCGGAAACCAAATTGCTAACAGACGGACGGACGGACAGACAGACGGACGGACGCCAGGGGGTATAACATAATATGCCTGAAATTCTTTCGGGCATATAAAAAGCCAAATAGTCTAAATCTTGATAAAATCCCTATTCAAAAGAGTTTTATCTAACGTTTGTTGAACTTTTAGTACGTCGCTTACGCGCAACTGTTGCCGGTATATTGATAAATTAGAATTTCCATACACTATGCACTGTATCATCATTAGGAAATAATGTACAAATATACTCAGGACCTGCATATGAATTATGTTGTTTTATGCAATTGTTAAACATTTATGACCCCGGTAGCATATTTTTATCAATCGTAATATCAACAAACATATTTGCCTGATAAATTGTGACAGATTTCATAGTTTTCTAAATATCTCCTTCTAGCAAAATATGTTGTATCCGTCAAATTTATGCAATTATGAAGCAATTCCTATAAAATATATTTAATCTTATTGTTGTCGTTATAACTTGACATTAAAATGTAACCTGGTGTTTTTAAAGGCTCCACTTCTTCCTGATTTGTTTCTGCACATTCCATTTTTAAAGCAGTTTCCTCTGAAATAGAAATTATTATCATTGCTTTTAAAATTGGCATTGCTTTTGAATTGAGTTGAGTCAAACCTCAAAGTGCATTGTCGTCGTATCCCAATATGAAGAGTCAACTTTGCAGAACACACTTCCCGGAAAGTGTACAATTACATGTACATGTAATCATTAACCGTGTTTTTACCTCTATTTAGCATGTCAGGTATATTTATGCATTTCTTATCAGGGGAAACATACATCACATCACCTAGATGTTTAACACAGACATCACTTAATGACAGAGTGTGTCAGCGTAATGTCGAACGCCAAATTCGAACGCCAAAACAGGTTGCCCTCGAAGGTTGCCGTTGCGTACAGTTAAAGCCAATGTCCATGTTTTATATCCATACACTTAGTTTTTATGATCTATTGAGGGAATTGTGTAAAAATATTATCAGTTAGCTGCATATAAATTATGTTGTTTTCTGTGCAATTTAAATACGAATCCAGCGGCATGTATTTTCTTTAAATCCTTATTTCAAAAATATAAATTGGACTAGTCGATTTTGAGAGTTTGAATAGTTTTCTAGATCAATCGTCATATTATCAGAATATGATAAAAGGTAATATACAGAAGTGTAAAAAAATGAATATTCCTTTAAAAAATCCGATATCAAAATGTTGTATATTTATTTAACTTCATAATTGTGTATAAAATGAAACCTGTTGGTTGTAAAGGTTCTGCCCCTTCCGGTATTCTTGCTGCAGATTCTATATTTTGGGCGTCAGTGTCTTCTGAAAAAAAATAGTCAACTTTGCTTTTATATTATGTCAAGTGCATAAACATGTGTTATTTTTGTCACTCTCTTACGGCCTGATGCTTTGCGAACGGTGTCTTTAAATGAATTGTCAATTTTTTGCATTTCGATGATAATATCTTTAAAAATGATGTGTTCAATCTCTTAGGTAAATGTAACTTTCAAGTATATATGCCTTGAATATGAAGTATATAAAAAATTCGTGTTGAATTTAACACTATAATGTTTTCTGGTTTTTTATATGTTTTGATTCATCCTGTTTTCTATTGTAGATTCCATGTAAAAGAAATATCCGTCACCAAATTCATTTTTATGTTTTATAACTCAAATTGATGTACATGTAATTGAAAATCATATTCTTATTGGATAAATGTTATCTTAATGTTTCCGCTGGAATTCAGACACAGCAAAAGGGTCTTCTGAAATAGAAAATATTCAATTCTAATTTTGAGATTTAATGACACGAAATGGAATAACTTGTGTTGTTTGCCCTTCCGTCTCTACATGTCTCGTACATTTATGCATTTCATATAAGGGTTAACAAACATGAACTGTATGTGTAGCTATTATATCGATATTTAAATAAGTGTGTCAATGAAACGTTATGTCTTATGTCATAGACGTTGGGGGCGGGCAAAAGGATGTCGATTCAAATAATTACTTTTTAAACCATTCATGTTTTATATCCAACACTTACATGTATGACATTTTTGAGAAATATTGTAGTAATATGCTCAGGTCCCTGTAAAAGACACTACATGTATTTTGTTCTCTAACTGATTTTGATACGAATCAACTGACATTTTTGCCTGATCGATTGTTACAACTTTTCTAGATTTCATTCCTCATATCATCAGAATAAGAAATTGATTTTTTTTAAATTTTATATTACAATGAGACCTTGTTGTAAAGCTACTGTCATTTCTGATATTCCTATTGGAAATTTTATTCCTAGGGTGCCAGTGTCTTCTGGTGTAAATCAATATTCAACTTTACTTTAATTTATATTAAGTCAAGTGCATACACTTATACTTCTTATCATCTCTTCCTTAAAACCCTATCTCTTTGCGACCTGTGCCTTTACATGAACATTTATGGATTTCATATAATGGTAGACATACATCAATTGTATTTTTATCAATGATATTTCTATTTGAATGTTTGTACCTATGCTACGTTATGTCTTTAGGCAAATGTAACGTTATGTCAAACATAATAGACTTGGGGCGCGTAAAAGTTGCCACTTCAGAGAATTAATGTAAATCCCAATATTTTATATCCCTACACTTACATGTCATGTTTGGGAAATATTGTATAAATATTCTCAAGTCCTTGCGTATGGAATAACATTGTTTACATAGAAGGTTGCCCACGAAGGTTGACGATGCATACAGTTAATATGAAAGTTCATGTTTTATATCCATACACTTATCTTTATGTTCTTTATAGGAAACCTTGTTTAAATATTATCAGGTACCTGCATAGCAATTATGTTGTTTTCTATGCAATTTTGATATTTATCCAGTGGTATGTATTTTCTATTAATCCTTATTTCAAAAATATAAATTTGACTGGTCGATTTTGAGAGTTTTTTTTTCAGATTTCTGGATCATGATTCATATGAACAGAATTACATATTGTATTTTTATTCAACTTTATAATTGTGTATAAAAATGAAACCTGTTGGTTGTACAGATTCTGCCCCTTCCGGTATACTTGTTGAAGATTCTATATCTTCGGCGACAGTGTCTTCTGAAATCAAAAAAAGTCAACTTTGCGATTATAGTAGGTCTATTGCATCAACATGTGTTATTTTTGGTCTCTCACTCTTACAGCCCGATGCTTTGCAATCTTTGTCTTTAAATGAATTGTCAACTTTGCGGTTCTCATTTTTCGATGATAATGAAGATCTTTAAAAAATGATATATGTTCAATCTCTTAGCTCCTTTTAACTTGAAAGCATATGTCTAAAAGATGAATTTTATTAAGATATCCGTGTTAAACTTTGATATTTGAATGTAACCGAATTTTGTATATGTTCTTATTCATCCTGTATTTTATTGCAGATTCCATGTAAAAGAAATATCCGTCACAAAATCAATTTATTGTTTTATCATGTAAATGTTGTGTTATATCTAGTATTATATTTGCGGATTATATTGAAAAATAAATTCCTAACACAAAATAAACTGATTTGATATATATCTCATATGAATGTAATAAAAAGAATATTCTTTAAAGAAATGCGATATCAGAACGTTTTCTTTTGAATTTTATAATAGAATGCAACCTGTCGTTTGTAAAGGTTCTTCTTCCTCCAGTAATTGTTCTGCAGATTCTGTTTCTAAAGCGACAATATTCTCTGAAAAAGAAAATATCTAACTTACATTTCTTGATTGAGATACCTGTAAATGGAAAAAAGTATTTGCCCAAACCCCTTGCTGGCCTTATCCCAACATGTGAGGTCAA